TGATGAGAGACATTATTCCATTGATGAAAAACCAGCAAATATTTGATATATGCCTAATGAATATGTTATGAATCAAATGTTCAATGTAATAACATGTTCACATATTTTTATAATATTAGAATATATAATGAAACGAAAACGCGATCAAAAGAAGAATGGGGAAACGGGAATATATCAATTTGATATTGTAGAAGTAGACATTTGCACTTTAAAATGCTTTTAGCAGATTTTTGTATTAGTATGTCATAATGGGGTATCTGAGTAGTCATGCAATTTTATAGAGTATATTATATTTCTTGTTATGTTTATGATATTTTTTATAGTATATAATTCGTCTCGACTTTTGCCTCCTTTATATTTACTGTAATAGTAGATATATGAAGATAGGCTGGAAATAGACAAAGAGGTAAAGAGCGCAGATTGAAAGTCCAGTATATATGACCATCAAATTTATAACATGCAGGATATAAATGTAACTGTAATATTGCTGTATAATATTTAGCTAAATATTGACAATTTCTTGTAATTAAAAGATAGTTAACACACAAATGTGTGTATGTGTGTGTGAAGAAAACGATTCTAAATTTTGTATTTCCATGTTAATAATGTATCTACATATATTTCTCAGAAATTTTTCTTTTAGCAGTATATTTGTTTAAAATATGTAAACTTTAATACAAACATCCAATATAATAATGTTGGATATATGCTTGAATTAATCCTTTAGCTAAATCTTTTATTTTATTTATACAATTATTACATTGATATGTCGCTATTAAAGCAAATCTTTAAGATTTTTCTCAATATATTTCTACTAGATTTAAATAGCATTTACATTACTGTGACAGCTTTATTAAAGTCAGAGTTTTTCATTATTTGCGCATGAAAAATTGTAATCTATAAGATATTATCTAAAAGCATAATACTTTTTTATTAGTTTTTTTGTTTTATCTGTTATTCTCGTTTATCTGTTCATCCGTGATTAATTTAAGTGTATTATTCAAAATTTCGTGAAAAAGAGAAGCTATTTAATATAAGGCACTAGATATCCCTCTTAGGCACATTGTAGTGTTTATATGACACTCTATATGTTTATAGATATTATAAATTTGTAAAAGTTTCCTTTCTTTTCGAAGGATACTAATTTCTGACTGATAAAGGTGCTACAAGAATACATGTGCATGATATTCATTGTGCAAGCTTGTGAAAATGTTTCTTGTAATTTATGATAATGCTCCCATTTCCTATGCAATGATTCGTATCATTGGATTGTATATCTGAAATATTATTTTGTAAGAATAATAGGTAAAGCTATTTAAAATTGTTACAAAAAAGGAAAATTCTCAGGGTGCAATCCTTCTCTTCAATCTCTAATATTGTTATATCCTAATTATATATTTATTCTTATTTTCGCTATGATATAAAACTATCTAGATATTCTGTTAAAAACCACAGGTAGGTTCTATTATTCCTGTATAGAGAAGTTTTTAATATTCATCAGGTAAATAAAGTGTTTTACAGTAGTTACAGTCTTGTGCATTGTAGATATTCAACAATTGTAATACAGTACATTATGGAATTGTACATTGTGACTCATTCTCCTTATCATTTATATACATATAACGAAAAAGACGATCATTGCATACGCTCGTAAGCTGTACATTTTGTATTACACTTCAAAAATAATTATAACAATGATATACACGTTACTTAAACAATTATTTATTACCGTTTTATTTCTACGGAGGAAATTATTTATTTCTCAGAGATTCTTGATTAAATTAGGTAAGTTGCAAGTAAATTGTTAATTATATCTGAGAAAGTTTACACTTCAACATATTATCGACACAATTTTGTATCGTAGACCTGTAAAACTTTTAATTAAGCTAAATTACTCGATGTTGTTTCCAATTATATTAATTAAATTTGAATTCATACGTATTTAGAATAATATTGCAGTAGACGCGCTATCTATTTCTGATTACAGATATGTACTATAATCTACAAAGATAAGTGCACTACGAGTGTGCTACGATGAATTTGAGAAGAAGACACACACAACAGGGGAAAAATAGAATGGGAAGTGAACTGTGTGGGACATTCGCAAACATTTTGCTTGAGTGATTGACTAAGAGTCTGCGTCTCAATGTAATCGACGATATATCATCTATTTTGAGTATCAGATCTATTAAGAGGTGGTAAAAGAAAGATCCCATTTGTAATTCTAGTAGTGTAATGGGCGGTGTTCGTTATAAATATATAAATATATATAAATACACATTATATATTATAAATCATATAGATAAATATGATTTATATATGTAATAAGTATATAAATGCTAATGATAATAAATAATAATATTAATAATGATAATTAATAAAAATATAATACACCGTTAATATTACCGTAAATACCGATAAAGTAACAGTACATTTAAAATATGCAACATCTAATGAATTTTTGGCACGCGGAGATCTTGTAAGATAGGAGAGGCTATTCCTGCTGCTATTACTATGTTTTTCCTTTCTTAGTTTGTAACACGTATAACAATTTCTTGCTCTAAAATATATTGTATATTAATTTTATTGACAACTCATAATGAATTATAAATGATTACACGGCAAAAAAAAAATAAACTTGTGAATATTACGATCTTGATGATTGCCCATTTATTTGACCGGAACTTTATAGAAAACATAGATTTATACAGAAAATTAGACAATTGCTTCTTTTTAAGATATTAGCTCTTTTGTTAATATGGATTTATGTATATATTCACTCGGCATTATACAACATTAATGCTTCTGTGTTCAATAGATATGTTACTAACATATTTAGAATCGTAAAATATTGGAATATATGGTATAGAAATGAATGACGTTTGTGTAATAGTGAGTTTGATAAAACGAATGCGATAATATACATAAAATGCTGCAAGAAGTTCAGAAAATTTTATTCAGAAAAATACATTCTATGCCTAAGTTGGAAAGTAATATAAATTATGATGATATATGCGGACCTTGGAAACTTGGCAGTGTACCGTTGGATAGTCCGTGCAATTTATCTTTTAAATTGATAACGCCTGAAGATGTAACTTATATGAGAAAGCAGAAAGATCGAAAAGCAATTTTGCTATTTCTCGGTAAAAATTTGAATTCTTTAATTATTTATTAAATTATTAGAATTGCCAATAATATATGATAAAATATAAATAATAATTTTCAGAAAACAAATTTTTAGCTGATATACTATACAAAGAAGAAAACAAAGAGATACTTGTCAAACTTCTATGGCAAATTTTTAGATTTTTCAAGTAAAATTTTCAACATATATTAGAGTATCTATTTTTTTTTTTATGTGACTTATATGGTAATTCATATTTAGCTTAAAAAGCCAATATTACTTTTCATTTAAAACAGAAATAAAAGTAATTTGTGGTTCCAAGAATAAATCAAATATAAATAAAATAAAATACCTACATGAGCTTCCGCGATTTAAATAATATATTTATGATTCTCAAGCAATTAGAATGTACAAATTGAGTGTATGTACTTATTTTCTGTACTGAAGAGGACTTATTCAAAAATATTTGCAGCTAACTTCGTTAGTAAATACATTTTAATTGATTGCGAATTATACCTTGTCATCTTACAAATATATTATTTCCGTACCATTCATTAACAGCCGCGAAGACTTATATAAGCATTTTACTTATATTTGATCACTTTTCATATTTTAGGAAGAACCTATTTACTGACGAACAAATTGCGACCGTTATGAAATTAATGCTTTTAACTCACAATTTGTATCTTGCAAACTATTGGAATACAGCTGAGGAAATATATAAATATTTTTTCGAGCGCGTTCTTGAATGTACCGTTATGGTAATTAATCGAGCATTTTACTAACATTAATTTTTATCGAATATATTTGTGTCTTTTATATTAAAATATTCCAGGATCCACCAAAATGCGCAGAAATATTTACGTCAGATCAGGCTGGAATAATACTTGAATTTTTTCGTAAAATATATTTGGAAAATATCATATTATTGCATCTCGTTTGTATGACTCATTACTGTATTGTTATCCGATTTTGACAAAAATGAGTGAACATTGATATGATCGCACACGTTACACAAGAAACGTCTATTTATTTTTAAAAAAGGATACATTTGATTATACATTTGATATATATGTAGAAAATTATGTTTACATAAAAAAAGACGCAACACAAATTAACGTAAAAGTCACGTTTTAAATTTCTGCATTCCGTATTCATACTTCAAATTTCTATTTCACACCTTTTCTTCAGTCTTTATCAAAATAAATCCCCCATGAGTCTCCTTCATTTGCTTGTAGAAGAAGATTGATAACCGTAATCGCGATTGTCTTCCAATGAAGTGTCAGATTCTGTTCCATTCTTAAAATTTTCATTCCACCATCGATTATTTTTTCGAACCTCATTTATTAAATGTTCCATTTTGGGAAACCACCATGAATTGCCACATGTTGATGTACGTCGACCAATCTTGATTGGTTTCGTTGAATATTTCTAAAGGCACATAAATGTAAATTAAATATCATAAAGCTGAGATTTCCTTTTTATTTTTAACTAGCACCAACCTTTCGTGAATTTGTACAGTTAAAACTTGAAGCTAAATCAGTATCCGTAGTCTGATACGTAATTGACGGTGATATATATCCGTTAATATACGCTTTTCTACAACTTCTGCTAGCTAATTTATGCGTTCTTTTTAGTTTTTGCGCTAATAAATTAATTCGTTTCATCTTCCGGATTTTAATTAATAAAGTTCTATAAATAGATTTTATTTAATGTTAAATATAGAAAAGAAAGAACTCTTGATTTTAGATAATTACAGAAAGCATATTTCGATATATCATATACTTACTTTTTCTCGAATACAAGCTGCATTATAAGTTGTTGTTTATTTTTCAACTTTTTCGATAGAGTTTTATTGTATTTTTTCTGTTGCTCCATACAGTCACGGATGCATGAAACTATATATTGAGATTCTTTGCAGAGTTTTGATCTACTCATTGCTGTGTCAGTTAAATCAGCTGACATGTTTGTTAAAGATTGGTCCTTCAAGTGACATTCTTTTTTTAACTCGTGCAAAGATTTACGCATATCTTGTAACTAATGAACAGAATAATTTGGAATTATAATTAATAATATATATGATTAGAATGGGGAAAATTAATGTATACTGATTATGATATATAGTGCAAAAAAATATTCAAATTAATATTTATTGTTCAAGAGATCGAAAAGAGTATTATACCTCAATTATGTACGTAGAATTATCTTGTTCAAGTGAAATTTTCTGTCGGTCAAGATGGTAATTCTCTTTCATGTATTCCTGCAATTGTTGAATCAAGTCATGATTTACATTTTCGACCTTTGTTAATTCCTCTTTTTCTCTTTCAAGCTAAAAATATCAAATCAAAGATGTATATTGTCCATTTACTTCAATAGAAAATTATTAGATAATGTATAAGCTTACATCTTGACGCGTAGTGTCCAAATGATCAGCGTAATTCTTGCATTTATCTTGCGCTTGACAAAGATCGATATTTTTCAATGCTAATGTCTTTTTGGTCTCTTCCAATTCTTCACTTAGTTTGTCCACTAAATCACGAAAACGGACTACTTCATTTTCTACTTCTTCAATCTTAGAACGATGATCTTTTTCCTAAATGAAAAATATAATTTTTATAAAGAATTTTTACACATATTTTTAATACAATTTATTTCAAATGAAAAAAGGATTACCATAATCGTTAATGATTCTTGTAATTCAGCTTCTCGTTTTGTTGTAGATATTAATTGTTCTTGAACTTTATTGAACTCTTCAGCCATTTGATGACAATTGTCTTCTGTCTGGCGCAATTTTATCCGTGCCTCTTTCAGCTAAAAGTAATAAAATATTTATCTTTTTTGTAACAAAAATATAAGCTATTATGTGTACATTACCTTTTCTTTCAATTGTAAAGTATCTTCTTTGATTTGAGCTTGTATAATGTCATTTTGATTCGTTAATATAGAATTTTCATTCTGAAGCAGATGTGATAATATCTCAATACATGTGAATCGTTTTCTATTATACTTTTATACTAGATATCAACACAATTATCTACATACCTTAAGTAATTCATAATCGGCTTGCAATTTTACCATGTTTTCCGATTTCTCTTGTAATAAAATTTTCAGAGAATATATTCGATCACATAGAACAGTCAGCATCTCATGTTCTGATATATTCAATTCGGATAAATTTTCCGTTTGTTGATCATTCATGAGTAATTTTTTCCTAAGATTTTCAACTTCGTGAGATTGATTTTTAATAATTTCTTCGCTATTCATAACTCGATCGTTTAACATATTGATCTATAAATTTTTGAAATTAATCAATTCATTTTCTTTGAAAAATGGATATTCATCAAGTTTTGATTTCATATTCAATAATTTAAAAATAAAAAAATAGAGTTTAAATGTCATCACCTCTTTTTTCTCATTTTCTAATTTCAACAAAAGTTCTTCATATTCAGTTTCCTTTTGCTCTATTTTCTTCATCAGGCTGTCAGTTTCTGATATGTGATGCTGTAGATTAGTTTGAAGTTGCTGATTTTCGTATTTTAAATCGCACTCTGTATCTTTTACCTTTTGTAATTCTGCTTTTAATTCTTGTATCTGAGTGATATTCTTCATTTCTGCTTCTTTAGCTAAAATTTTAATTAATTTGCGTTTATAAATTTATATCCTTTTTTTAAAGCTTAGGCTTCGTCTTATACATGTAAATTACCAGAACGTTTTTCCATGTGTGATATTCCATATGCGGTGCTATTCGAATACTCCAAATCTTGAGTATCGCAATTTTTGTCTTCAAGATATATTGCGCACGATCTGTTTGTGCATTTACTT